CGGGCCCCCCTGCCGCCCCCCGGTCCATCCAGGTTCCCCGGCACAAAGCAGTTTGGTTTTTTTTTTTAATTTTTCCCCCCTCTTTGATGTGCATTTATTTTTCCCCAACGGTAGCTACCGGATGGTGAGCCGGGGTCATGGATTTCTAGGGGAGGATGCGATCACCTGGTGGGACTCTATCTCCATGCAAACTTGCCTGATACGGATGCAAAACATGTCATTCTTCCCAGTCCAGGACCACACAAAAGATGAAAGACTTGTGACAGGCACCAGAATTTCTATTTGGCTGGTTCAGACACACAAAGGACGATGATTTCCCTAAATCCCCTTCAATTTCCCCGCCTTGCTCTGAACACCAAAACAAACCGTAAAGCAAAACGGCCACTAAAGTCACGAAGTGCCAGGTCTCACCGTGTTGTGGGGCTTTGCCGTGGGGCTTTGCTGGGGGGCATCCCAGCCAGGGGTGCTGCCTGCATCCTGTGAGCATCACCAGTACCACCCACAGCAGCGCTGGGTGATGGGGCAAAGTCTGCTCAAACATGCAAAAAGGCTGATTTATTTGTGTATGTGTTTTAAAATAGTGAGTGTGATTAAGCAGTGGAACAGTTTGGCAGAGCTGCTGGCGCAAGGACAGCTGTTCTTCCAGGAGGCACGTGTGCACACCTGCTTTAGCTCAACAGAAATTAATTTGGGGAACCTGAGGGTCTGGGAAAACACATCCTTGCTCCTCCTGTTACCTTTTGCCAAGTCAGCGTGTGAAAAGAAAGCCCCAAATCCTCCTCTTTGGGTCATCACCGGGCTTTCCTCTCCCTCTGCATGTCAGCCGCGGAGCAGCGATGGGCACGGGAGGTGCTGGGGCATCCCTGGGACCATGGGGAGCCAGGAGAAATAGGGGGCTGCGTACCCCAATGCATCTGGTCCTGTGTGCAGTAACCAGCTCTTTCTACATCAGAGAAACCAGATTTTTGGTCTATTTTCTGGTGTATATTAATGCCCTTGGATATTGCACCCTGCTAACAGCTTCCACGCTGCACCTCTGGTCCCAGCTCTGCCAGAGCTGCTCATGGGGGGGGATCTCTCCCAGGGGACTGGATGCCCACATGGGCTGATTTTCATCAGCTGCCGTGCGTGCTCGCCTTTGCACACCTGAGGAGCCCTGCTGCTTTGCAGAGCCCCTTTATAATGAACATTATTCATATCTGCAGCATGCTTGTAACAGCTACTAATAATTTTATTGCTCTTTATAATCTATTTAAAGCACAATTAGAAAATAAAATCTATACAAAGTTACAGCTGAAAGCACATTTTAGTTACGTTATAAATAGCTGAAAAACAACCATCTATCATGAAAAACGGTGCTCCTGAGCTCAGCTGCCAGAAGTGGATGCTGCTGGATGATACCGAGGGACACCGAAGTGAGGGAGGGGTGGCGGTGGGCCTTGGTGGGCTCCTCGTGGCCCCTCAAAGCACGACTCCTTCAGGCTCCAGCAGCAGGTAGTCGCGCAGAGGTTTGGGCACGGGCAGCAACGGGATGAGGCAATGGCATTTGCTGCCAAACTTCTTCCGAATGGCAGAGCGGCACAAATGTTGCAGGCACCGCACAGTGCCCACCAGCCGGAAAAAGGACTTGTAGAAAAGCTGGTGCTGCTGCAGAGAGGGGGGGGGCAAAACACGAGCATCGTTTACTTTTGGGTTTTTTCCTCATTAAGCCAAACAAGCTGGAGATACTTTTGAGATGAAGAGCCAAGAGGAGGAGGTAAGAAGCCCATCAGCGATGTTTGCCCGTGGGTTAGGTATTTATGTGCTGATGTGGCTCCTGCATGCCAAGGCTGGCTGAGGAGTTCTCCTGCGGACGCACACGTGGAGGAGCGCGGCCAGTTTGGGGAGGATGCTCTAGTGCCCACTGGCAGCAGCATCCCCACAGAAAGCCTGAGAGCTGGCGTAGAGGAGACCTGCTCATTTCTACAACGGGGAAACAATGCAGGATCGCTTTGTGCAGCCTCAGCCTTTCCTTAGCCTGGAATAAAAATGATTTCTCCCATGCCCTAGAATGTGCTGAGGAGCTTGATGAGCATTTCAGTGGCTGCCGCCCCTCACAGCCAAGCTGACCATGGGCTGGTGGTTGGTCAAGAGCAAGCTGGCCGTACCTACTACATGGCTGGGGACAAGCTTTTTAAAACCAGCATTAGTGGTGTGGGCTTCTGCTGGGCAGTGGTCTGGCTCTGGGGTCGCTTCCAGATGCTGGGATTGGATTTTATTGTGGGCCAGGGGAGGGAACAGGGGTTTGGGTGTTGATGGAGCCAAAGGGATGCAAAGCTGCTGAGTGTGTTGGGTGTGCTGTGATGCTCTGAGGACTATTTCTCCCCCCCCTGCAAACACCTCCCCAAGTGAAGTTCAGATGGGAAAAAACCCTCTTGGTGGGTAAAGCCCCCTCCTCAGGGCTCGGCTGTCCCTGTCAACCCACCGGTGCTGTCTCACCTGCAACACTTCCTCCGGCACGGCCTCAGCCCACTTCTCAGAGACAGGGATTTGTGAGTACGAGTTGAAGAGGACTTCGATGATCTCTGGCACAGACGCACAGGACTTCAGCACCTAGCAACGGGGAACACAGACCTAGATGTGTGTCCCAGGGGGACGGAGCATCCACATGCTGCAGTGGGGGCTCATCCCACCCCACCATGGTCCAGGCAGGGGTGGTCCCGTGTCGGTAAGAGGCAGGTGCAGGGTTTGTCCTGGCATGCTTTGGAGATCTTTCTCACCTGTGAAGTGGTGGGAAGACCTGCCTTGCTGTGGATGCAGCCCTTGCTTCTTATTTACATTTTTGGCTTGTGTGCGATAAGCCAGGATAATATTTTCTTTATTGGTTGATGTAAAATCAACAAAACACAAAGCCATGAGAAGGCTGCGCTGCTGGCCAATGTGCCAAGCTGATCTCGCCTGTCTCTGACATCCCCAGGCAGGAAAAAATTCCTTGTTCCTGGTCCTCCATGCCAACACAGACTCCATCCTGCCCTTCACCCTGCCTTGACCAGGGAACCAACCCCAATGCCATGGTCCGCTCTCCCTTCCTAGACCAGGGAACCAACCCCAATGCCATGGTCCGCTCTCCCTTCCTAGACCAGGGAACCAACCCCAATGCCATGGTCCCCTCTCCCTGCCTAGACCAGGACCCTTTCCCAAACCTCCCCAAATCCCCCAATTTTTTATTTCCCAAAGCACCCCGACCCCAACAGCAAAATCCCAGGTTCAAGGGGATATAAGGGGGCTGTTGTGGGGTTAGTACCTTGATGAAGGCGGGGGGCCATATCTTTTGGGAGCCGTGGTTGAGCA